GCGGAACGAACACATGTTCCCATGTCTCGGCATGCTAGCAAGACAAGTGTTATCCGTTCCGGTATCAACCGTAGCAGTTGAACGAGAACTCAGTGCTGGCGGCAACATTCTAACCGACTTTCGAAGTTGTCTTAGCGCTGAATCTCTTGAAACACTTCTTTGCAACCAAGATTGGCTCTTGGCAAGACGTCGAGCTCAAGAGTCAACGTACCAACTCGAATCGGAGCATTACATGAATGCAACAACAGATGGAAGTCCGAGTTCTGAAGAATAAGTTATAATTTTTTTTGTTAATGTAAATATGTAATTAGTTTTTTTTAGCTGAGCGATATATAAGCTCCTTCGAGGGTTTCTTTACGGTTCTTTACCTCGTCGCTTTTTTTGAACCGTCAGGATATTAAATGTGGTTGTTCTTCAGTTAGTGTATTATTCATTTAAAATATTTAAATAACAACTACATTTTTAGATAACAACTACATTCCGGTACTTCATTCTTTCCTTAAACAATTGCAAATTTAAAATTTTATACTTAAAAATTTTAAAAAAAGCAAAAAAAAAAGGGGGGGGGGCGAAACCGGCCGGTCCGGTACCGGAACCGCCGGTCCGGGAACCGGAACCGGTACCGGCCGGCACGGTGACGGTTCCGGTGACATGGGGTGGCGGTACCGGAACCGTACCGTGTCCACCCCTACGTCCAACTATTACTTTTTTGGGCTCCGCCCCTATTCAATTCCATTTAATGCATTGTCTACCTAATTCAAAAAGAATGTAATAGGAGGTTGTACTTTGAATTTTTTGTGGGTTTTTAGTTTATGTATTTCATTTCGAACTTAATTTTAAATTCATATTTGACTATTTTTTTTATAAGTTTACTTTTTAGACAAACATTTATCTTATTTAATCTTACTTCACTAAAGTGAAATTTATGCTGAGTAGGTTTACACTTTGCGTTTGAACTGAAGTATATATTTTGCAGTTATTTTAATTTTGAAATCCAAATTTTATAAAAAAGTGATTTAATAATTTGAAATCCAAATTTTTTTTTTTACAAAATTAGGCATAATACAACTCACTTGGTGTGTTGTACTATGAAAAATCCGGAATCGGTTTATTTTTTGGGTTTCCACAAATATAAATTTTCAAAAATCTATAATTTATTTTTTTGGAATATGGACGTTTTTCAAATTATGGCAGTAAAACATATTTAATCCTTACGAAATTATAAAAAATTTGAAACTATTTGCCGTAATTTGTAATACTTATTTTTAACACAATTAAGTATAATACCAATGGGTTGCTACGTTGCCTTATGTAATAATTTACAAGGCCAGCTATTTAATTGTGTAGTGGGTTCGTGGCTCTATGTGTATGTTAGTGGGAAAACATTAATTAAAAGTATTCTCACATGTCATTTCGATTGCCTTTTCGGGATCTAAGTATCCATTGTATAAGTTTTTCCGTGGCTCTAGGTAATATGTGAGGAAATGCTAAGACATTAATTAGATCATTTTTTAAATATTTTCACGTGGCTCTAAGTAAAGAAATGATGGTTCCTATTCTGAAAAGATTGATTCAGTTTGTGGCTCTAAGTAATAAATAACGTTTAAAATGTAAAAGCCATTAATTACTGGATTCATGACTTATCTTTTCAACTATTATCAATTAAAAAATACATCATGTTCCCGTATTTACTAGTTGTCTTTTCAAACCTATTTCCATGGATCTTGTGTAGGTATAGACTGTTCTTTTAATGAAAATATACTTTCTCGTGGCTCTAGGTAGACACGGTTCATTTATATGGAGTCCACAATCCACACTCCAAGTTCATACATTACCGTGTTCAATGGTTGTTTTATTACTTATTATTATAGGAAATTTGTTTTACTATTTCTCGTTTATATATTTGACCTTATATCAAATTTGAAAGCAAGAATTTTGCAACAACCTTCAATAGTACAAACAACATAAGTATTCCAAAACAATGGGAATAAGTTTTGTTACATGCTTCCACAAAATAAGTGGACACTGGATATGGTGAAAGATAGAAAAAAAAGTTTGATGAAAACGCCAAACACCTTATTGATTAAGTCCACAACACACGTAATCAGTTCATGCATCTATTTTTCGACCTTGATTGTTTAGAGCCTTTTCTCTTTTTTGTCATTTGAGTTCTCTTCAAACCGTCTTCTCTTGATTGGATTGTCTTCTTCAACTTTTAACTCCTTCCTTGAACTACTGCAACTGCTCTGACTACCAAGAACGTCATTTGAACCAATCTGCATTTTTCAACAAAAATTAATGCCAAGATACACATGTATATTTTTAGGATTGTTCCACTGTAAAGTCTCAAATTTATTCCATATTCAATGTTCCAAAAGTAAATGTATATTTACATCACCTTTTCCACTGTCTGACTTAGGTCTTCTACACTATCCCAAAAATCATCAAAAGCAGTTCCTTCAACAACATCGGAATACTTGACCACAATTCTTTGATCAATAGTCACCATTTGTCCAACATTGGAAATACGGCTATGGTGCTTAGTTGGTGAGCCTGCCTCTTTCTCTAGGAACCTTGAAAAGAGCTCTTTGACTAACGATTCCATCCAACTCTTGCGAAAGAGCATTTGGATCCATTTTTCTCTACACAATTCAAAGATCAAAAAAACTTTATTATGATAGTGTTTATAGATATTTACCAATGGCTATAAGGAGACAGTGTGTGAGTTTAGGTTTACCTCAACCATAGCCTCCCTGAGCAAGAACACACTCACACCCAATAGCTAGCTGCATTCTTTATTAAACAGAACAAATGAAGTATGCCCACTCCCACTCTCGTCAAGAACACGAACTATGACCTTGCATCATGCGTTTTTGCAATTAGTTAACTCTCCATAATCACAACTCAAAGTATAAACCAAAAAATAATATCAAAATTTCATTCATTTACCAAATAGTTTAAAATTAAAATCAAAATCCGTCAGTTTGAAGCGAGGGATATCTGAAATTACTTGGTCTGCATTCTCTATCTCCCCCCTTTATGTTTAGGTGATAATTCTTCTTCTCTTGTACCAGACCGTGTCATTTGCACCGATGTTCTCCATGGTAAGCAAAAATGTGGTAGTAATTGAAGGTATCTGACGATAAGATAAAGTATACTCGGGGTGACAACGATGGAATCAACCAAGGGAACTAAGAGCACAACAGTTTCAAGGGGAGACAGCTCATTTTAGAAGATTAGTCTGGGGTTAAAGGATCAATTGGGCTTTCGAACGACGCGGTTTGGATCCTTTGGAAATCATCATCACTTCCGGTGCAACTTAAAGATGAGTCCTCAATTTCAATAAGGGCATTTTTTTGCCCTTTTCAATAAATTTTCGGTTTACTGTCATCTGTGCGGCACAACTGCACAAGAGTATCCAAAACAGGGAAAAAACGTTTGAGTATAAGCCACAAGGAGGCGGAAGGAAGAGAACATGGAGATGATAATGTGGCAAACTCCTGCTAACCTACCGGAGCGACATGACTACATTTACAGCAACGGTAATTACCTTCTTCCTATTCTCCTTCTGCGGACAAACAAACACTCCCGGACGGAGGTAGGATCTTTCATGCATTTCATGTTCTTTGCAATTTGTTCAGGCATTCGCTATGTCAAGCCGTACTACTTTGAGTTCATCTGTCATGTACGCGCTCCCTCCCTTGATACGCCAGTTAAGGGCCACTCTTCTTTAAAGCCCTATTATATGCTAGCCTTTACAACCTAATTTCTGTGCACAGGTGAAAAATAGGTGGGCAGGGAAGACTGTTGTTGACCTTTTCTCAGAGGAATTTAAAGGCCGGTCTAGAAATTACTATGTATGCCGTTATAATGCGAACTGCAGTTTATATCATTAGCTATTGCCTCTATTTCTGGTTTGAAAATGGATTTATATGGGTTTAGGTTATTTCATTTTACATCAAAATAGTGAGTTCATTGTACTGAATAATGCATGTCGGTAAAGTTACTATGATTCTATAGGTAGCTGCTGTTAAGGCTGGACGAATACAAGTCAACGGGAAGAGAATTCCTGTTTCATATATAGTTCAACCATCACAGAAGATAAGCCATTTTGTACACAGGTCTGTGCTGCTCAAGCCTTAACCCCACAGGAAAACATTCTTCTGCTTTGATGTCCTTTTCAGTTGTCACCCAATCAAATAAGTTGTATTTTGTTCCATATTATGGAGTTTAGATATAAAAAGTACTACAAATTCATCACTTACGAATTATGTAATCCTACGATGTAACAAGTACAAGTAGCTAAGCAACTGAAGCATGTAGGCATGAACCACCAGTCATGGCATGGGATGTTGAGATACTATGTGAACAACCAGAGGTGCTAACCGTTTGTAAGCCTGCATCAGTTCCTGTAAGTTCCCACCTGTTGACTCTTGTTTTCGCTCTGGAACACTTCTGCTATTATATAAGTCTATAATTGTATGCTTTCTTGTTTTGGCTTTCTAATGAATTTCTGTTGGGATCTTTGTTCTTGCATTTTGAACTGTTGGTGAGTTGTGTCATAGCTTGGGCCCTAAGAACTTCTCATGGCCGTGAAGTCAGAGTTTAAACAATTTTTTTTGTTTTAAAGTTTCTATAACAAGGATTCAATTGAAACTGAATGTCCATTTTAATGCTCTAGGACATCATATACCAATTGCCTAATTCTTAATGTTTCAATTGAAATAGGTGCATCCGTGTGGGCAGTATCGTAAGAACACAATTCTTGGCATCCTTCAGGCAGAGCATGGTTTGACAACACTATTTCGTATCCAATGCAACTTAGTTTCTTCCTTTAGTTTCCTACAAAGTCCAAACAAGTGTTTTAATTTGCTTTGATGCATTAATGCTACTCCTTATTTCATTCGAGTGAGAGGAGGTACTTGGTAGTGATTTTTTTATCATCCGAAATCATGCCTTTAAACCTAAATGTCTATAAACCCAAGCACATATTTAAGATTTACAACTATAAAGATAACATGATTTGCTATGAAAAGCTTGCAGCATAAACCTGCCCCAATAATCCCCATGAATGGATATTTGGCCAGACTACAAACATTAAAAGTAAACTTAAATTGACTTAAGTTAAATTTTCTTTTGTGAATATGATTCTGGATGGCCTAGTAATTTATAATTTGAGTAAATACTGGATAAAATCTAGCACTTCTATCTTTCCAGCATGTAAACTGTGTCAAAATGTCTAGTTAATTATTGCTCCCTATAACTTATTTTGGTTTATGTTTCCTTGACATGACTTTTAGCTGTTCATCGTCTTGATCGCGTGGTGTCGGGGCTCCTTATCTTAGCCCGAAGTTCTTCTAGAGCTGACACTTTTAGGCAGCAGGTATTTTCTTGTAGTGATGTCATTTCGTAACGGACTTTATTGAAAATCTTTTTTTTATAATAGAAGAGTACATCTGTACATTGTATAGATACATTTGATGGATAGTTGGATACAATCAACACACACCCAGACAAAAGCTTTCAAACCTGATGTACCCCTGGATGGCTCCACCAAAACCCCAAAATCCGAAACAACACCAAAACCCTAATCTCCTCTCCTCTTCCTTCTTCTCCCCCTCTGGCCGAAACTACAACCCATCAACATACCCCACATGATTTTGTTCATTNTGTCAAACCACAAACCTAATCAAGCCCCTCTTTGTCCCCATGTAAGGCCGAAACTAGGGGGGCCAAAAACAACCCCTCTTTTATTCCCCAACATTGACCAACCATTGTCCCCCTTGTGTCTCCCACCTAGGCTGGATAAACAATAACAAAAGGACAAAAGACTTTTGTGAGTTTATTGACACTCCACCCACCAAATCAGTCCCCACATACCTTCCATGAATGACCCAATATAAGGCCAATAAAACCAACCATCACCCATCCCCTTTGTCCCCCATTATTTCCCAAGAATCATCACTTATTTCCTTGTGATTTTCCTCACTAAAGGACAAGCCACCAGCCATGAAAATCAAAGACCAAATCCGTGATTTCATTCCATTAAGAAAACATAAACAAATGGATATTATTCTTGTGATTTGTGAGTGGATGTTCCTGGGAAGTTTCCCCTCTATGTGTGTGTATTTATTTCGGCCTTAGGCCATTTTGTGAGACTCATATTGTAATTCCATTTTCCATTTAGTAATACACTTGTTATGTTTGCTATTTAAACTCCTAAATCTATATCTTAAGAGTGGTTATCTTAAGTGTGAGTTTTAGGTTCTAGATATTTAATTAAGTGTGTCATATCTTGATTGAATTCTAGATTCAAACCCCAAGTTAAGATAAGAGTGTGTTATATCTCTTAACACCAACTTGGTTTATCCCTTCACTTTACCTCTGCCAATTTCATTTCTCACCATTTCTTCTTCTTGAACTTATCCTTTTCTTTCATCAAAAACCCAAAAAAAACAACTCTTTGTTCCACCCTCATATTTCGTCCCCCTCATTTCCTCTTCACCATTCCATAATTCCATCTTCAAATAGCAACTTGATTATACCCCGGGTCTCGGGTATAACAAAACCAATTTCTAGCATCAGTTAACATTCTTCAACTAACTCTCAATTGAGTTTATTGTTCACACTTTTTAAAGCTGAAGAGTATAAGTCATATGCAAAGCTGGTTAAAATTGTAAACAACTTTTAAAATTTTAAAAGATTTTGTTTGTATGTCTTTAAGTTGAACATGAAGATAATTAGGGAAGAATGATGGTCTTGGTACTCAGATTAACAAAGGGAAAAAATGGGACATATATACACCTGCAGTCCTGCACATGTAACTACATTTGGATATGATGTGATCGTCTTCTTATTATTATTACTATTTTATTATCATATAAAAACGACAACCACAATAATAATAATTTGTTTCTTATTACTCCCCCTGCCCCATAATAATGTTCCAATTTACTATTTACAGGGTCAAACTATATATTCTTTCTTTACCTATTCTCATTGATCATTTTATAATATAAAAAGTTTTATCACCCCTTGTTTTGTAGAACTTTTGAAGTAGTTTTTAAATTTTGTTTATCTTTTCTCTTTTCTGTTAATAATTGTGTTATTTTAAATTTAATCAATTTAATTAAACAAAAATAATGATTTATACGTCTTAATTTTTTTTGTTTGTTTAATTTGAATTTTTTTGTTTGTTAACTTTTTTATCTATTTTAAATCTTTATTGTAAACAATTAAACAAAACACGTGAATAAAATAAGCACTAAATAAATACATAAAAATGCAAAAAAAAAAACCAAAAAAATAAGACATCAGAAAATTTTAATAAAACAAACAAAAAAATAAGACATATAGTACCATAAACAAAAAAAATAAGACATTTAAAAAAACTCGTTGTTTTACATTTCTTTGCTTGTTTTCGTTTGCTACTTTTTTCTTTAGTTCCTTTTTGTAATCTTTATTTATTATTTATTCCTTTTCTGCTTTTTCTCATTTCTTACTTTTTTTCTTTTTCTTTTTGTTTTCTTTTTTGTTTTTCTTTCTTTCTTACTTTATTTATCTGTTTTGTTATTTTCTCCTTTATCTTTTATCTTTTCTGTTAATAACATTGTTATTTTCTATTTAATCAATTAGTTAAACAAAAAGATCAAACTATACAACTTAATTAAACAAAAAGATCAAACTAAATAAGACATATAGTGTCGTTTTTTTCGTCTTATTTGTTTGTTTTTTTTTCAAAAAATATGAAACAAAAAATGGTACTATATGTCTTATTTTTTGTTTGTTTTTTTAAAATTTTCTGTTGCCTTATTTTTTTTTCATTTTTTAGTTATTTATTTAGGGTTTATTTTATTCACTTGTTTTGTTTAATTATTTACAATAAAGATTTATAAACAGACAAAAAAAAGATGTAAGCTTTGATTTTTTTTCTTTAATTAAATTGATTAAATACAATTGATTAAGTCAAACAAAAAAATCAAAAAAATAAAACATAAAAAAACAAACAAAAAATTAGACATTTGTTAACAATAAAAAAGTTAGTAAAAAAAATCGTAAACAAACAA